TAGTGACCCCTCCTTGGGTCTCCAAGTTGGTATCACTACGGAAGTAGATTGCCTAACCTTCTTTCCGGGGATTGGCTGGTGGGTTTGAACCACCAGCCTTCTGGTTAGCAGTCAAGTGCCTTAGGCACTAAGCTACCAGAGCTCCTTCACATTATAGTTATGGATAAATCTTAAAAGTACAAATTAAATATTTGCAGGGGAAATATTCCTAAAATTCCTGTAATTTATTACTATTTTAAATTAGTCCATTTGGCACAAATAGTGCCAAGTTTCTTTTTTTTGTTTTTTTAAGTCTGAGTGATACAATGAAGAAAAAAAAAGTATAGTTAATGATGAAATTTTCCAGCAGTACAGTAAGACATCAGAAGGCAAAAATTAACTTGTCTCTTTAGCAGATCTTTTCAGAGCAATGGATAAATAAGTATAAATGGCAAATAAAAAGGTGGTGAAATCTCTCAATACCCTTAATTCTCATAAGCCCAAGAATAATTGTTTTTCAATTCTCAAGATATTGCTTAATGAGATGTAAAAAAGGACTGATGTTTGAACTAATCATATCCTAAGCAAATAGATCATTATTACACTTAATTCAGTCAACAAATATTTGCTAAGAATCCACCATGAGCCAGACATGTGTTATGTATGAAGATATATTCTTTGTTATGAAATCTACTTTGCCTGAAATGCATATAGCCATTTTTCATTGATTAGTGTTAGTATGATAAATCTTTTCCTATCCTTTTAATCTATTTGATGTTATTATTCAAAGTGAGTTTCTTATAAAGAGTATATAATTGAGTCTCACCTTTTTATCCAGTCTAATGATGTCTGCCTTTCAACTAGACTTTTTAGACCATTTATGTTTAATGTGATATAGATAGATTTAAATTTCCTATCTTGCTATTTGTATAAAGCGGCCCTAGTAGAGCAGTGGTTAAAGTGCTCAGCTGCTAACCAAAAGGTCAGTGATTCAAACCAACCAGTTGCTCAGCAGGAGAAAGATGAAGCAGTCTGCTTTGGTAAAGATTTACAGCCTTGGAAACCCTATGAGGCAGTTCTATTCTGTCCTAAAGGTCACTGTGAGTCAACTCAACAGCAGTGGGTTTGTTGGTTTTTTGGCTATTATTTATTTTTTTTTTTTGCTGTCAGTTTTTGTTCCCTTTTTCTTCTTATTCTGTTTTTCTGGGTCAACTTAATATGCTTTAGGAATCTATGTAATCTTACTTACTGGTTTATTTCTATACATCTTGTTTTGGTTTGGTTTTGGTTAGTTTAAGGTTGATAGTGTGTGTCTTCCAGTTTTCACAGTCTATCTTCAAACGACATTATATCACTTCACATATGCTAGAAGAACCATACAAGAGTATGTATTCCATTATCCCTCTTCCATCTTTTGCACTTGTCATCTTTCTATTGCTTTTGTTGTTAAGTTCTGTTGAATCAGTAATAATTCCTAGCAACAAAATGCAACACTTTCTGGTCCTCCACCATCCTCACAATATTTGAGCCCATTGTTGCAGCCACTGTGTCAGTCCATTTCACTGAAGGCCTTCCTCTTTTTCTCTGACCTCCCACCAAGCATTTTATTTCTACATATACTATATGCCTCTCAATGTGATATTATTAGTTGTATTTTATGCAGTGAGTAATCTCTTTGAGTTTTTAAAACAAAGTCTTTTATATTTACCCACATATATATCATTTTCAGTGCTCCATAGTCCCTTGCCACCACTTGTCTGTCAGTGACTTGTACCATGTTGGCATGCATGTTGTTGTGATGCTGGACGCTGTGCCACCAGTATTTCAAATACCAGCAGGGTCATCCATGGTGGACAGGTTTCAGGGGAGCTTCTAGACTAAGAAAAAGTAGGAAGAAAGACCTGGCAAACTAGTTCTGAAAAAAAATGGCCAGTTAAAACCTTATGAATAGCAGCAGAACATTGTCTTGATATAGTACCAAAGATAAGCCCCTTGGGTTGGAAAGCACTCAAAATATGACTGGGGAAGAGCTGTCTTCTCAAAGTAGTGTCAACCCTCATGATGTCAATGGAGTAAAGCTTTCAAAACCTCCATTTCCTGATGTGGCATGAATCAAAATGAGAAGAAACAGTTACAAACATCCATTAATAATCAGAACATGTAATGTATGAAGTATGAATCAAGGAAAATTGGAAGTTATCAAAAATGAAATGGAACACTTAAAGATTGATATCATGCATCAGTGCACTGAAATGGACTAGTATTTGTCATTTTGAATTAGATAATTAGATGGTCTACTATGCCAGGAATGCCAAATTGAAGAAGAAAGGCATCACATTCATCACCAAAATAAACATTTCAAGATCTATCCTAGAATACAATGCTGTCAGTAATAGGAAAATATCTGTACTTTAGGAAGATCAGTTAATACACTATTCAAATTTATTTACCAACCACTAATGCCAAAGATGGGAGCTCTGGTAGCATAGTGCCCAATGCCAAAGATGAAGAATCTGAGCATGTGTACCAACTACTGCAATCTGAAATTTATCAAACATGCAATCAACACGCATTAATACTTACTGGTGACTGGAATGTGAAAGCTGGAAAGAAAGATGAAGAAGAAATTATTGGATAATATGGTCTTGCTGATAGAAACGACGCGAGAGATCACATAATAGAATTTTGCAAGACCAATGACTTATTCATTGTGAATACCTTTTTCAACAACATAAATGGTGATTATATATGTGGACCTCACCAGATGGAATGCACAGAAATCAAATCAACTACATTTGTTGAAAGAAATATGGAGAAGCTCAAATCAACGGTCAGAACAAGGCCAGGATTTGACCGCAGAACAGACCATCAATTGCTCATATGCAAGTTCAAGTTGAAGTCAAAAAAATTAAAACATGGGCCAAAGTATGGCAGTGAGTATATCCCACTTGAACTCAGAGATCAACTCAGGGATAGATTTTGATGCACTGAACACTAATGACCAAAGACAAGACGAGTTGTGGGATGAACATCAAGGACATAATATGTGAAGAAAGCAAAGCATCATTTGAAAAACAAGAAAAACAAAACAAAACAAAGACCAAAATGAAGATAGAAGTGACTCTAAAACTTGCTCTTGAATGTACAGTAGCTACAGCAAAAGGAAGAAATAATGAAGTAAAGGAGCTGAACATAAGATTTCAAAGGACAGCTCAAGGAGATAAAGTATTATAATAAAATGTGCAAAGACCTGGAGTTAGAAAAACGAAAGGGAAAAAACACTCAGCATTTCTCAAGCCGAAAGAACTGAAGAAAAAAATCAAGCCTTAAGTTGCAATATTGAAGGCTTCTAGGTGCCAAATATTTAATGACACAAGAAGCATGGGAAGATGGAAGGAAAATTCAGAGTTGCTATACCAAAAAGAATTGGTAGATGTTCCATTTTAGGAGGTAGCATATGCTCAAAAACCAATGCTACTGAAAGAAGAAGTTCAAGTCATGCAGGTAACACAATTTTGCTTGTTGAAAGTGAAGAAGATTTGAAGCACTTACTGATGAAAATCAAAGACTACAACTTTCAGCATAGATTACACCTCAACATAAATAAAACAAAAATCCTCACAACTGGACCAGTTGGCAACATCATGGTAAATGGAGAAAACACTGAAGTTGTCAGGGATTTTATTTTACTTGGATCCACAGTCAACACCCATTGTAGCAGCAGTCAGGAAATCGCATGATGCATTGCACTGGACATATCTGCTGCAAAACACCACTTTAAAGTGTTAAAGAACAAAGATAGCACTTTGAAGACTAAGGTGTGCTGACCCTAGCCATAGTATTTTCAATCACCTCATATGCATATGAAAACAGGGCAATAAATGAGGAAGATGGAGCAGAATTGATGTCTTTGAATTGTGGTGTTGGTGAAGAACACTGAAAATAGCATGGACTACCAGAAGAATGAATAAATCTGTCTTAGAAGTAAAGCCAGAGTGCTCCTTAGAAGCGAGAACGGCCAGACTTTGTCCCATTTACTCTGATCATGTTGCCAGAAGGGACCAATCCCTAGAAAAGGACATCATGATTGGTACAGGATCAGTGAAAAGGGGGAAAACCCTCAACAAGATGTTTTGACACAGTGGCTGCAGCAACAGGCTCAAGCATAGTGAAAATTGTGAAGCTGGCACAGGACCCAGCAGTGTTTCGTTTTGTTGTAGGGTCTCTCTCAGTACCCACTCCAGGGCACCTAACAACACAACAGCATCCTCATTCTCATTCCTATTGCCCTTATAGTAGGAACCACACAATAGTGTAAGTCACAATTTCTGAGTAGTTCTTGCGTGTCTTCAATTAGATTCTAAGATTCCTGGAGTTAGATCTGTCTTTTTATTCCTCCAGAGAGCCTATTAGTTATACGCTGGGAACATACAGTGTTTTAAAAAACACTAGTTGGGTGTCTTAACTTTCCCCGTTTTGTCTAGCTATCTAGTTTCGGTTGTACCCTGGCACGACTTTGTCTGGGGTTTCTTTGTACTCATCAGTATTGTTCACCTTCTATTAGAACAAAGGTCTGAAAAGAGATGTTAACGCAGCGTCCTGTGTAATCTGAATAAACGGAATTTGACCCCACCCAGGGTGTTGAGACTAGGAAGGAAGACTAAACTGTGATAGCTCTCGGAAAGACACATATTTTTTAAATCCCACTCCAAAGCCTTCAGGTATCCCGCCAGTTACCCCGGCCTCCGGAGCTGCCGGTGCTCCAAGATGTTGACAATGCAGCTATATTTGCGGTCCAGAGACCAAGTCGCTATGGTAACGGTGAGACGCAAATGCACTCGCAACGCCTTCTGGAAGAAAGTCTTAGTCTGAGCCCAGAGGAGCGCTTGGCGACGGACGCGACTTACGGCAGCGGCGTGACTTACGTCCGCGCTGTCCCCTAGTAGAGCACCAGTGGTGGGAGGGGGATATACAAAGGTTGGCGCGCGTTGCCGGGTATCCAGGGCTGAGTGCTCTGCAGCATGACCCAATCGGTGGTCGTTCAGGGTAAGCTGCTGCGGTGGTCGTTCAGGGTAAACTGCTGCCGTGCAGCCGAGAGGCCTTGTTTCCCTTCTTATGTCCGTTTTCTTCTCCCTCTCTTCTTTCTCAGTCGGACAGTGCGGAAACCAGATCGGCTGCTGTTTCTGGGATCTGGCGTTGAGGGAGCACGCCGCGGTCAACCAGGTACTGGCTCCTGGAACGCCCCCACCGCCTGCCTGTCTCTGAGGTGCCTTCAACAAATAGGAAAAAAGCTTTGTTTGAGCTTTCATCTGACCGATGTAAATTGTGTGGGATCTTCACTGTACAGAAGATAATGGTGTTTAAACGTACATTGGCGTTAGACGCAGACTAGAAGAACACTGGCCAGGGACCTTAGTTTCTAGTAATTTTCCTGATTCTCAGGGTCCTCGTCTTTACCATGGTTCTTGTGAAGATCAATGAGGTAGAATATGTTAAAGTGCTTTTTAAAACAGGTAGCACGTGTGGTGTTGTATTTTTCAGCGTAACCATCAGCTTTTAAAATGATTACCAAGAATTCAGAGAAAACTCATTTGATGCCTGCTCTTGTGGCTAAGGCACTTGACTGCTAACCAGAAGGTTGGCGGTTCAAACCCACCAGCCACTCCTCGGAAGGAAGATGGGGCAATCTACTTCCATAGTGATACTGCCTTGGAAACCCAAGGAGGGGTCGCTATGAGTCGGGTCTGACTCAACGGCACATAATAACAACAACAATTACAGTCCTATGGGGAGTCCTTTAATACCTGCTGTACTTAATCCATAGAGCTCACAGCATTTATTCTCCAATATGAGATTGGAAGAATCAGGTTAAGCATCTTGTGACGTGCTTTTTCTTATCCTAGCTACCCAGGTGGTACGTGGTGGAATTCTTCCCTTTTCTGGCAGAGACCCAGGTCCAGTCCCAGCCAGTGCACCTCCTCAGTAGCCACCACCTTTCTGTCAGTGGAGGCTTGCATGTTGCAATGATGCTGAATAGGTTTCAGCAGAGCTTCCAGACCAAGAGAGACTAGGAAAACAGGCCTGGTGATCTATTTCTCAAAGTTAGCCAGTGAGAACACTACGAATCACAGTGGTCTGATCCTGTTGTACAGGGGTTGCCATGAGTCCTGTCTATTGGATCATAGCTAACAACTACAACAAAGCCATTTTAAAAAAAACCACCTTCTTATTGCTGTCAAGTGGATTCTGACTCATAGCAACCCCACATGTTACAGAGTAGAACTACTCTGTAGGGTTTTCTTGACTATTCTTTACAGAAGCAGATTGCCAGGCCTTCATGCACAGACCCTCTGGGTGGGTTCCAACCACCAGCGCTTACGTTAGCAGCTAAATGCAAACCGTTAACACCACCCAGGCTCTCAACAAAACCATTACAAATGATATGTTAAAATTGGAAAAGTGATATTACTTATATTGTGGGATTATTCAAACTACTTTATTAAATGCTATAAATACTTTTTTTTTCTTTTTAGAAAGGAATTTATGATGAGGCAATAAGCAGTTTCTTTAGAAATGTGGATACCAGGTAAGAAGGGATTAAAGTCTGTCAGCATGATGAACCTTATCAACAGACTGGGAATGCAGTCTTCAGATATGAAGAATAAAGACTGAAATTTTTCACTGAGGATGTCTTGTTAAGGCATACATTTATTTTTTACATTGAGTTTGCATTAATTGTAAACTTTTGAAAGAAAAAATCTTGTTTACTTTTCTCTGGTATTATTTATGGCCCAGAATACATGCTGTATGAATGGAATGTGCTAGAAAAGAGAAAAGCCATTGTCAGATTATATTTGTTTATTCAATAAAGAGTATATAAATTTCACCTATCTTTTATCTGAAACAATCAGATAAACATTTAACTGATATAACAATCAGATAAACAACATTGAAGCTGACATTCAGAGTTTTTCTGAAGCATTTAATATTGAATCCATGAGGAAGAAATATAATCAATTATTTTTTTCATTTGAATTATCTTTTAAACTCAGATTTTGAGTAAATATAATATTGATTTTTATCCTTTTTTCCTTCCAACCTTGCCATAGTCAAAACAGAGGGGAAAAAGAAAAGCATTGTTTCTCTGAGAGAATTTTCTAGTATGTTTTATTCATTGTTAGTAATGTGTTCAAACAGTTACTGTAATAAGAACTTTACGCAGTGTAATATATTTCGTCAGCCACCACTATGGAAGGAGAAGGTCCAGGCAGAGGGAAATGCAATGCCATTCTTTTTTAGGCAGTGTTTGTTGAATGACCTGGGGAAGAGAGGACTACCTGTAAGGTGCTCTGCTAGTGTTGTCATGAAAATAAAGACAGCCTACTTTTTCTTTTCAACTTAGAAGTAACACCTGCTCAATAATATAACTTGTTGATACACTTAAACACTTCTTTTGCTAAAATCTGATTAGTGAATGTTGTGTGCATTTTCCAAGTACCTCATAAAATGAAAAGATGTTGGGCTTTAACTGAAAAGTAAATCCCTAATATCAGGTTTTAATCTAGTCCAATAAAAATTTCAGCATTAGTTTGTATTAGTTGTCTGGGTGGGTGTTTCTTTGAGGCACTTATTTCCTCAAGAAGGCCAGTTAGTCCCCACTTTTTTGATGAATTCCAAAGTTTAACCCTCAAGATTACAGACTCCGAAATCTTACTGTTGGCACCCGGAGAGTGGGCCCATTGCTCTTCTGTACAGTCAGATTAGCCAAACTCAGAGAATTAGAGATTAAAAAGCAGAAAAGTCAATTTATTAATAGATAGTAAAACTAAAATTGAAAACAACTGGATACACATATTCATAGGTATATTCTCTTCTTGGAATCTACCTGGAAAGCTACGTTAATAATCAGGAAGTTGCTTGGTGACCATGGAATCACACAAAGGGAAATTAGGTGTATTACCTTAATGACTGCTGTCATCTATCTTTATTATATGGAGAGACCTGTCATAGACTAGAGTCCATCCTAATTGTGGACCAGAACATCTTCTCGTCTAAAAACTATTAAGAGACATACTACTCAAATTTGCTTTTGTAATGCTTTTAGGTCCTTTGCTTGTTAATCAAATCCCTACCCCAAACCTTCCTTTCTGGATGGCCACTGTTCATTGTGTATTACATAGTTGAGACTCACCCTGTAAGCAGTTTTCTTTAAATAAACTGATTTTACATACTACACTCTTATCTACTATGTTTGATCTTATTCCTCCAGTATCAAGTTTGGGAAAGCCAGGAGAGGGAGTGTGTGGCTTGCTGTTCTTTCCATGTATTGACAACATGTTCTGCATCTGTTTCAGAGATTAGTAAGAAATTTTTTTTCAAGTATGAAACCACATCATGTGCGCTTATGTATTTTTTTTTTTTTTAAACAGTGTTTCCTTCCTTCCCACACTGGTAACCAACAAAGAAAGTTTCCTTCCATATATAAACCTTTCCTGACTTTTTACAGTAATGAACTAATAGAATATTTGTCCTTCTGTAATTGACTTATTTCAGTCAGCATAATGTCCTCCAATTTTGTCCACATTATGCAGTGTTTTATGTTATTCTTTAGTGTTGCACAGTACTCCATCATGTGTATGTGCCATAGTTTGGTTATTTACTCTTCTGTTGATGGGCACCTAGATTTCCATCTTTTTGCTATTGTAAATAGTGCTTGTCACAAGGGACCATTCTCTGGAGAAGGATGTCATGCTTGGTAAAGTGGAGGGTCAATGAAGAAGGGGAAGGCCCTCAACGTGATGGATTGACACAGTGGCTGCAGCAATGGGCTCAGGTATAGCAGGGATTGTGAGGCTGGCACAGGACCAGGCAGTGCTTCATTCTGTTGTACATAAGGCTGTTGTGAGTCAGAGACGACTCGACAGCACCTAACAACAACAGATGGTGCTGCCATGAACATGGGTGTGCATATATCTGCTCTTGTCCTGGCTCTCACTTCTTTAGGATATATACCTAGTCATGGGATTGCTGGATTAAATGGTTTTTCTAATTCCAACTTTTTAAGGAATTGCCATACTGCTTTCCACAGTGGTTGTATCATCTTATAGTCCCACCAGCAGTGTATGAGAGTCCCAATCTCTCCACATCCTTGCCGGCATTTGTTATTTTCTGTCTTGTTGAACTTTGCTATTAGTGCTGGGGCCAGATGATATCTCACTGTTATTTTGATTTGCATCTCTCTTATGGCTAATGATTGGGAACATTTCTTCATATGTTTGTTGACTTTCTGAATATCCTCTTTGGTGAGGGGTCTATTCATGTCTTCTGCCCATTTTGTAATTGGATTGTTTATCTTTTTGTTGTTGAAATGTTAGAGTTTTCCATAAATTTCTTTGGAGATAAGTCCCTTGTCAGATACATCATTACTGAATTTTTTTTTCCAATCTGTAGTTTCTCTTTTTACTCTTGGAGAAGTCTTTTGAAGCACATAAAAATTTAATTTTTAGAAGGTCCCATTTTTGTCTTATTGTGTTTGTGCATTTTGGGTTGTGCTTTACAGTCTATTTATGCCATAAATTGTTGTAGTTGTAGTGTGCTATGGAGTCGGACCCGACTCATAGTGACCCCTCCTTGGGTTTCCGAGGCAGTATCACTACAGAAGTAGATTACCTACAGCAGAGATTAGCAAACCTTCTCTAGATAGTAAATATTTTAGGCTTTACGGCCCACCAAGTCTGTTACAGCTCTTTGACTCTGCCATTACAGTGTGAATGCAGTCATAGATAATACATAAATGAACAAATACATAGCTGTTTTCCAGTAAAACTTTATTTATGAGAAAGGGTAACACAAGAACCATATAGTTTGCCAGACTCTCATCTACAATATCATCTTTGCTCGATTCAGCTTCCTTTTACGTATTTTGACTTCTTGTGAACGATATCGACTTACATTTGGTCATAGATTTAGGTTCCTAGGTAACTTATTTTCAACACGAAATCTTCAGAATAGACTTAGAGACTCACTGCCATATAAGTGGAATACCGGTTGATAAGTGTTTGTCTGCAAAAGAAAACTTGAGTAATGGTATCTTAAACAATGAAGACATGTAGTCACCTCACATATTCTCGGTTTAGAGGAGTGCCTCAAAGACTCACATACTGTCTGTTGTTCTAGTATCCTTGGTATATTGGCTTTTCATCCTTGGGTTTATCACTTCATGACTATAAGAAATTGGCTCCAGGAATCACATCTATGTTCATGTTCCAGGCAGGAAAACGGGAGAAGGTTGGCACCGATTGCATCTGATCATTTTTATCAGAAAAGTTTCCCAGCATACCTCTTCTTTATGTCATTGGCCAGACCTGAATTGCATGGTCAGGCCTAACTACAAAACAAGTTGTGGGGAAATAAGTACCTCACTTTCAGCCTAATGGGAAGTAGGCAAAGGAGAAGGAGATTGGGAATGAGTGTTGTGTCTGCCTCACCTGGCCTATAAGCAACGTATGTAAATAGAAGCTAACTGTATTACCTGGTAACACTGTTAATGGAAGATCTTATAACCTTTTCTCATTTTTTTATCTTTCAGAGTGAGTGGTGATGGTGGCAGTATATCCAAGGGAAAAATTTGTTCTTTAAAAGCACGAGTAAGATAATCATTTGGATTGTTACATTGCATGTATTTTTAAAATAACTATACTTCCATAGCTATCATAAGAATAAAATTTTCTTTTAACTTCTGAAATAAAAAACAAAAACTGTATATAAGCCACATTTAATATAAAGTTACACCAGAGATTTTAACTACTTAGACATTTGTGTCCACCCAAAACTGCAGAAAAGTGCTTCAAGTAAAAACACTGTATATTTAATATATTTTTCTAAATATTTTAGGAGAAATACATGTCTAGATAAATGATGATAAAAGGATCTTTCTTAGTTTAAGAACCTGGAATACTAATGCAGGTTAAATTTTTATCTAAGTATAATGGAAGGTTTGTTTGCAACAAGGTAATTACTCCGAGTACAAAGCTTGCATCCAGCCTCATGGTAAATAAATACCATTACCATGTAAGTTCTGGGCAGGAATACTTTCAGAGTCGATAGCCCATATTTACAGTGTTGAATTACTCTCCTTCCAACATTTCTGTGATTAATTCTATAAGAAACTGCCTCTTCCAGTTGATCAGTAATCTTTGGCTATAACAAAAAAGAATGGCAGTTTAAAAGCTATGGAAGTAATTGAGATGATAATGATCAGAATGAGTGTGGTGACTGAGTGGAGAGCAATCATGTAGTGTTACCTGGGAAACATTGCTTTGTATTTGTGATTGCTGATGTCATTGAAAACAATTTGGCCAGTGACCATGTGATTGTAGGATCTTAGAAGAATTAATTGACATTTGATATACACCGTAGGAGTTCTGGTGGCATAGTGCCTAAGGCATTTGACTCCTAACCAGAAGGCTGATGGTTCAAACCCACCAGCCACTCCTTGGAAGGAAGGTTGGGCGATCTACTTCCATAGAGATACCACCTCAGAAACCCAAGGTGGGGTCACTGTGAGTCGGATCTGACTTGATGGCAGTGAGTTTGGTTTTGGTTTTTTGATACACCATGAACAGGAAAGAGCTAAGATCCTAATCTAAAAGAGAAAAGGAGACTTTGACATTTCCTAGACTGCTCTGGATTTCAGCCCTTTCCCACTCCTCCATGACTGAGCAGACTGGAAAGTAGAGGGAACGTTATAGGAAAGACAAGATAAATAAGCTTATTCCTGTAGCCATTGACTTTTGTCCTGGAAGGTACCCTTCAACCTTCTCTCCCGTATGGCTTTTAACACTGACAGCTTCACTAGCTATCTTGGTGCTTGAGTTTCTCCTCTGTTCAGCATCATAGATCAACTGAAAAATAATAATTTTATAAATAGGAAACCTAGAAGGCCAAAACATTACCACCAGTTGGCACTGAAAGTATGATTCCAGAACTTGGATGCCTAAGTAAGGAGTCCAGAATACTCCCCCTAAATATAGTTAATAAAGCCACATTAAAACAAACCAAGGGCCTAATCAAAGGGAGTAAGGAACAGAAAAGTTATTTATTATTGTCAGGGCTTAATGCTGAGTGATTAGGAGCTCTGGTAGTGTAGTGCCTAAGACACTTGACTGCTAACCAGAAGGCTGGTGGTTCAAACCCACCAGTCACTTCTCAGAAGGAAGGTTGGACAATCTACTTCCATAGTGATACCACCTCAGAAACCCAAGGAGGGGTCGCTATGAGTCCGGTCCGACTCAACGGCACATAACAACGATGCTGAGTGATTAGGAAAGTGGTAGGCCTATCAAAGTCACTTCAGGAGTTACATAAATGTCAGTCTGTCTTCCTCTTATTGTTTCCTTTGCCAGATTGAAAGGTATCTGAAGGCTGATGGCTTATTATTTTGTCAGTATGTTTAATCTTTCACAATCATCTTGAATCCATTTTGGAACAAAGACATTATAAACTTTTGTTTTGTTCTGTTTTTTAAATCTTACAAAACTTCTAGTACCACAGTTTGCACATAGAGTGAAGCCCTCTCATGCAGTTGGTTAAGTAAAGTCATTTAAGTTTAAAATTATATGTGGTCAGAAATACCCTTAAAAATCCCTAAAATTGCCAATAAATTATCTTAAATAAAATGTATGGATAATGCTTTGGTGTATATAAAGGAATACATTTGCAAAACATAATTTTATAGTCCAATATACTACTATAATGAACTATTTTAATCATACAGCTTTCAGTAGTATAGTTAATTACACAAATAATTGAATTCACAGAATTTAAATGTGCATATATTTTAACTCTGCTATAGTCAGTATGTTACAAGCATTAAACATGACTGTCTCCCTTTGGTTAGATAGTAGGACAGAGAGTATAGTAATTAAAAGTATAGATTCTACAGCCAGGCTAGCTGGGTTTGAATCTCAGCTCCACTACTTATTAGTTGGATGATCATGGATAAGTTACAACTTTTCTGGTCCTCATTTTCCTCATGTATGTTAGAGAAAGAACAGATTATCTTGGAAGAAGCATAGCCAGAGTAGTCCTTAGAAGCAAGGATGGTGAGACTTCATCTGGCTTACTTTGGTCACGTCAGAAGGCGCCAGTCCCTGGAGAAGGACAGTCATGATTGGTGAAGAGTCAGTGAAAAAGTGGAAGACCCTCAGTGAGACAGAGTGACACAGTGGCTGCGACAGTGGGCTCAAGCACAGCAAAGGTAGTGAGGATGGTGCAGGGCCCGGCAGTGTCTCGCTCTGTGCACGGGGTCAGTATGAGTCGGGATCAGTTCAACAGCACCTAGCAACAGGCCTCACTTTCCTCTTGTGTACACTGGAGGTGATTATTGTACCTATGCATAGAGCTGTGAAGATTAAACTGGTCGATCCATGTAAAGCACTTATAACAGTGGCATGTACCAAGGGTTTAAAGTTCATGTGGTAAACCAGCATATCCTCTGTGATGCAAAATCAAGGAGTTAACACGTAAGTTCACAGTGTGTCTTAAGGTTGTTTCAGGAGACCCTGGGTGGTGCATTTGGTTAATACAGATCAGTTGCTAACCAAAAGGGTGGAGATTTAAGTCCATCAAGAGGTACTTCAGAAGAAAGCCTGGTGATGTACTTCCAAAACCTCAGCCATTGAAACCCTGCAGAGCCCAGTTCTGCTCTGACACATGGGGGGTCGCTGGGAGTCAAAGTCAACTCAGTGGCAATGGTTTTGAAATTATTACAGAATACTTCTTCAGCTCTGCTTTTTTATTTTTTTAAATCTATTTATTTGTTTTACATTTTCACTTTTCTTTCTCACTGTAGAAAATATGTAAAGTACAAAGGAGACGAGGCATATTCCTACTACCAGGTTACTCCTGTTTATATCTTGTCATGCTTCCTTCCAGCCTTTTTTCTGCAACTGCTTTTTTTCCCCCATAGTTAATTTTATGTTTTTTATTCTCATTTTCTCCTTAGTAATAAAGATTATCCTCCATGTCAATAAAATCTGAGGTAAGGAACTAGATGTGCAGTTACTTGGGGAAAGGAACCACTTGTCAGCTTTGAATCTATCTAGCACCTTAGCCTTGCACATCATAGTGAGATTGCTGATTTGAATCAGACAGTTTCTGGCTGTAACTCATAGAGAGCAGTGTGGTTTTTCCTAGTGAGTAAAGTACATCAGTGCACATTATGTTCCTTGGGAATTTGTTCTAATTAAGGTTACCTGCCAAATTTCTGAGACCTTATTCTCAAGAAATTTATAGTCACACTTGCATACAAATAAAAAGATCATTAGGAATTCAATTTAAGGGATTATTCAGTTCCTTTTTTCCCTCCTTGACATTTTAGATTAGGATAAAATAAAATCTAACTCTTAATTGGATTCCACTTTTCCAGCGAGTGAAATTCTTTTTCAATTCTTATAAAAGATTCTACATAAAGATTTTGATTAACCTTAAATTATAAAAAGAACCATGCAGCTTTTAATTAAAATTCTTTCATTTACAGAGTGACTAATTCTAAAAGAAAATATGCTGATTAAATTGTATTTCTTTCTCAGGCTGTCTTGATTGACATGGAGGAAGGCGTAGTGAATGAGATTCTGCAGGGACCGTTGAGAGATGTATTTGATAGCAAACAGCTTATCACTGATATTTCTGGCTCAGGGAATAATTGGTAAGGATATACTGAAAATAAAAATGAAATGTCAAACAGAAAAAGAAAATTTGTCTTCTTTTTAATAGATCCTACAGGCGTGAGAGCAAGGTGTAACTTGACACACATAACTAGGCCTTTCAGCCCATCATCTTTACCTTAAAAATGATTGCTGCACAATAAGCATGGTGTTTCACTGTGCTTCTAAGCCACTTGTATTTATTCTTACTTCCAGTTCCTTTTATTTATTTTTTGTCTTAAGAAAAAGAGGAGTCAGGAAAAATGAATTTTCCAAATTCTTTTTTATAAAGTATTCTTACATAGGACTAACTAGTGGCAATAGTTATATCAGGTATCTCACAGTGGCTGCAACAGTAGGCTCAAGCATAGCTGTGATTGTGTGGATGATGCAGGACTGAGAAGTGTTGTGTTCATAGAATTGTTTGTACATAGAATTGCTATGAGTCAGAACTGCCTCAACAACATCTAACAACATCCAAACCAAAAACCAAACTTGCTGCTGCCAAGTCGGATCCAACTCATAGCAACCCCTCCTTGGATTTCTGAGGCAGTGTCACTATGGAAGTAGATTGCCCAGTCTTCCTTCCAAGGAGTGGCTGGTAGGTTTGAACCGCCAGCCTTCTGGTTAGCAGTCAAATGCCTTAGGCACTATGCCACTAGAGCTCAATAAGAATATATTACATGTATAATTTGTGAATTCTCCCATCGGCTGAATTTAATAAATTTGATAAAGAGGTAAGCCAGACCTGTGTCCCAGGATTCAGAGTCAGCCTGAGGACTGTGTTTGCCCTTAAATATGTTATGGTTTCTTCTCTAGTGAAAGAAAAGTCCAACAGTGATCACTTAAGAAGTTACATTGAAACTGTATTTGCTGGTTTTAAAAAAAAAAAAACTAGTAGTTACTTGTTATTTGCAAATCTAATATTCATTATTTTAACTATTTGCAGCCGATTTCTCAGGCTTAAGATGTGTAGTGCTGAGTAAGCGAGCCTACGTGATCGCCTAGCACTAACACTGCCTCTCCCTTGGCTTCTCTTTAGTTGTGATACAATTTACCGTGTAACTTTATTTTTTAATAATTTATATGTTGTTGAGAATATGCACAGGAGAACACACCAATAATTTCTACATGTACAATTCAGGGACTTTGACTGCAGTCTTTGAGTTGTGCAGCCATGCTCACCCTCCTTTTCTGAATTGTTCCTCCCCCGTTAAGACAAGCTCACTGGCCCCTAAATTTCTTACCTAATCTCTCAAATTGCCATTATCAATTTAACACCATATACAGTTTTTAAAAGAGTACAGTGCTCAAAGTAAACCTTTACCAGTTAAACTAAACTATTGTTTGTTTTCACTACGTAGTTTGTGAGTTACACCTGATTACGTTTTGTGGCAAAAATCTGTCTTACAGTGAGTGCTGCTTGCGAATTTGAGCAGTTAAGAAGGCTTGCTCTGGTAGTGTAGTGCCTAAGGCACTTGACTGCTAACCAGAGGGCTGGCAGTTGAAGCCCACCAGCTACTCCTCGGAAGGAAAGTTGGGCAATATACTTCAGTAGTGATACCGCCTTGGAAACCCAATGAGTGGTTGCTATGAGTCAGGTCCAACTCAATGGCATATAACAACAAGGCTTGCAGAGATATTCCTCATAAATATCAATTTTCTACTGTGCCATTTTTTCCTAATAATACTGTGACCAGTGTTTTTCTCAATTTAAACCAGAGTAGGCTGCTTAAAAAGTTTTTGTTATGTGTGTCTTCCTAATTGACTACATTCTGCTCTTTAGTCTGTAAAACCACTGTAATTCAGAGTTTATTTTAAATGGAGAAGAGATAACTGCTTGTTACTGAAATCTTTTATGTTGTAATTGTACCTTAAGGGAAAAGATAAAGAAGATAAATTTAGAAAACCACCTTTTAATATTCACTGATAGATACTTGAGCATTATTAACATATAATATTTGTTAAATTTACCTTATATAGTTTTGGGATTTTATATGGCTTATTGACAGTGTGTATTTGTGTATGTGTGTATATATATTTAAAAGGTATTTAAGGACCTCTGGTGGCGTAGTGCCTGAGGCATTTGACTACTACCACTCCACAGAAGGAAGACTGGGCAGTTTACTTCTGTAAATATTTACCGCCTTGGAAACGCAAAGGGTTTCAATGGCAGTGAATTTGGTTTGGGAGTTTTAGTCCAATAAAAATGTTTTTTGAGATTTTTTCTGTACCTTTTGTTATGTAGCTCAGAAATTATAAAATCAACGAATAATAAATGCAAGATTTTTTAAAAATCTTTATTCTTCTTTTCAGGGCTGTAGGTCACAAAGTTTTTGGCAGTCTTTACCAAGAACAAATTTTGGAAAAACTCAGAAAATCTGCAGAGCAGTGTGATTGTTTACAGTGTTTCTTTATAATACATTCTATGGGAGGAGGTAAAGTTACTCACTTACTTACCTGTAACAGTGTTAAAGTGCAAATGGGAATTCATTTTACAAGCCTAAGTTTTGTTTTCAGACCTCTGCTTGACAAAAATAAAACTATTATAAGTGTATGTGTTTATGTATATATGTATCTGTATAACAGCTTTTTACTTTAAAATTGCTTAACATCAAGTCAAGGCTGAATACTGTCCTCGTTGAATTTTTTACTCTTTAATCAGATCTTTTGGTTTTGTGTGTGTGTATGTGTGTGTGTATAACTTAAATGTGAAAAAGAATGAAATATAGAAAGCCTGTCCCACCTCATGGTCAGAGCCAGAGATGGAATTTACCCATGTTGTAAAGAACTCTGGCGATGTAGAGATTAAAGTACTTAGCTGCTAACTGAGAGGTGGTTAGTTTGAACCCACCAGCCACACCACAGGAGAAAGATGTGACAGTCTGTTTACATAAAGATTTACAACCTGTAACACTTAGGAGAGTTCTGCTGTGTCCTGTGTGGTTGCTGAGAGTCAGAATCAGCTCAAAGGTAACACGTTTTTTTTGTACCCACGATGTCTTCATTTCCTTATCTGAAATTAGATTAACAATATATACCATCATAGGAACAAATTAATAATTACAACTTTAACATATGTTTCTAAAACTACAATATAAAATTAAACTTCCTAAACAATTGCCTCACAATTGCATTCTGAACCATTTATGGTGTTTTCTCTGACACTTTTATCCTCAGGAACGGGATCTGGACTTGGCACATTTCTTTTAAAGGTGCTTGAGGATGAATTCCCAGAAGTATACAGATTTGTGACTTCAGTTTATCCTTCTGGTGAGGATGATGTCATAACATCACCTTATAATAGCATCTTGGCAATGAAGGAACTCAATGAGCATGCAGACTGTGTGTTGCCCATTGACAATCAAGTAAGAAATGACATTGTGATTTACAGGCAACTTTGATGTACATTTAATTATGTGATATGCTTAAGTGTGTATATGAAGCATTCTCTCCTCTTTACTATATTCAGCCTTCCCATTTTAGAGAAAAAATAAGTTTAAATTGTTTTTCTTTCTCTTCTTTCCTTCCTATTAGAATATCATCTATGTCTACTCGTCTTAATAGTTTCTCTCCCAATATTTTTCCCTCCAAAGTCTTTATTTGACATCATTAGCAAAATTAATGTCATGGTGAATTCTGAAAAGTTGGGTAAAACTGTGAAACCAAAGAGTCTGGTTACTTCCAGTGCTGGAGCTTTAAAAAAGCGACATGAGAAGCCCTTTGATGCAATGAACAACATTGTGGCAAATTTACTGCTCAGCCTCACAAGGTAATCAGTCCTATGAATAGCATACCTAAAGGCAGTTTATAAACTTTACTGTGCTTTTGACTATGTTTTGCATGCTTGGCTAATAGCATTTTTTAATTATTCTAAGTTTTAGGTGTGCATCTTTTTGGGGTTTTTTGGTTTTTTTTTTTAGATATTGGAGTGGTAGATCAGACATAGAAATTTTTTAAAAAGCAATATTACCCAAAATGTATTCCATAGAATATTAATAAGCATCAGATGAGAAAAGATTTTGTGGTAGATGAGTTTGAGAAATACTTGATTAGGTAAAATTAAACTTTTTTTTTTTTGGATTTGTTGTTGTTAAGTGCCGTCGAGTCGTTTCTGACTCATAGCGACCCCATGCACAGCAGAACGAAACACTGCCCA